CGGCCGAGCAGCAGCGGCAGGGGCAGCGGCAGGAGCAGCAACGGGAGCAGGAACAGGAGGAGGAGCTCCCGAGCCGAGGAGGGGCGCAGCCCGGCCGGGGCCGCCCGCAGCCCTGCCCCGCGCCCGCAGCGCACAGGTGGCATCCCGGCCATCCCGGGAAAACCGAGTATCCCGAGTATCCCGAGTACCCCAAGCATCCCGGCCATCCCGAGTATCCCGGCCATCCCGAGCATCCCGAGCGTCCCTGGCAAACCGAGTATCCCGAGCATCCCTGACAAACCGAGTATCCCGAGCATCCCTGACAAACCGAGTATCCCGAGCATCCCTGACAAACCGAGCGTCCCGAGCATCCCGGCCGCGGGGAACCCCTGCCGCTGTGCCCCTGCCGTGCGGAGCGGGGTTTCTGTGGTTGGACAAGGGGGATTACGAGTGTCCATGAAAGCATAGATCCCATCCCAGCTCACTCCCCGATCGGCGCAGAGGCTCCAGGAGAGCCGAGCCCGTGCTCTGTTCCCGGGGCACCCTTGCCCGCAATCAGCACCCAGGGCTTATCACAGACTTGGAGGATATTGCCCAGCTCTACTTTTAAATGACATTAGTTTGACATCTGGGTGGAAGTTCCTCTGTGTGGGTGTGATCTCCGTTTGAAAGCAGCGAGCTGAAGCTCATTGCCGGGTTCGGGAGTCCCCGGCAGCTCGAGCTGTGTCTCAGTCCCGAGCGAGCCGCTCCCATCCCGTGTGCTGTGTCCCCCCGCGGGGACAGACACCGCGGTACCCCTGTCTCTGAGCTCCCTTCCCTGCCGGGACACTGCTCCTGGAGGGAATGTCCTGCAGGTGATGTCCCGCAGCTCCCTGCGGGATGGGGACAGTCCCCGCAAAGGGACAAGGGCTGGCTGCTCCTGCGGGCACTGTGCCCTTCACCCGGAGCACTGCGGGGTCTCTCTTCCAGCCAAGTCCTTTGTTGCTATGGTAATACAAATGAAAAATCTATACTATGGTAATTTTAGCAAAACACCTTTTTTTTTTTCCCCCCGAAACTAAATTGGACCGTGGTTCAGGATTGTGTGGGCACACAGAAATAGTCGTGCTGATATTCCTCAGCCGGAGCTGTTGAACAGAAGTTCTGGAGAGGGCTGTCAGCGACTGGGGCTGTCAGCTTGGGCTGCTGTTCCCTGATATTGCACAGGATTTTTATTTGACTTTGGAGAGGTTTCTGAGCAGGCTCTCAGCCTTTGCCTGTAGCAGGGAGGTGACAGGTTTTACCGGCCACAGTGACAGTAGGAGAGCTTTGGATTTTGTACAATAGTCTGTAAGGATCTCGCTATCAAAAGCCTGTTTTTAAAGTCTTTGTTGCTGAAGAGGAAGGACATATTAAGTAGGGTCTCCCAGGGAGGAATCTGGGATCAGTTTTGGTCAGTGTTTGCTGTAAGAACTTGGGGGACAGAAAGGAGGGCATTTCTATAACGTGTGCAGCGATTCCAGCACGGAGTGCAAGGCTGACATTTCAAATGACCCTGAGATGCTGCAGAGCCTGCCTGAACTCAACACATTGAAACTGTAGGAGAAAAAGCCGGTGTGGTGTGAAAATCCCACTCCAGATGAACCCTGAGAGGGGCAAACCCTGCAGAGGAGAGTCAGGACGGCGGTGCTCGCAGCCTGGGCAGTGGTGCAGGGCAGGAGGAGCAGCCGGAGACATCAGAGGGCGTTATTTCTGTTCCATTTAGCGCTAGCCAGGCTCGGCTGGAGCGCTCTGGCCGCTCTCAGCCGTGGCACTCACCCTTACAGAGAGATGCAGGCAAAGCAGAGAGGAGAACAACAACCACAACTAGAGGCTTGGAAATGTAAGCTGTGTGGAAGACTGGAATTCATTATTTGAGCTGGAAAAGAAAACACAATGTAAGGACTCAGCAACTGTCTTCAAACGTATAAACACATCTGCAAAGATGACAGTAAACACTCGTCCTGTGACCACAAATGGTGGGACAAAAAGCAATTTGCTGAAGTGCAATTAGGGAGATTACTTCAGATATCAGGGAAAAAAAGCAAACCAGACAAAACTATTTCCCTGGGAGTGGCTGGGGAGTAGCTGGAATCTCAGGAGATTGTAAATCTGTTCAGTGGTGATTTAAAGAAAAGATTGGTTAAAAGTCCCTCAGGGCTGGCTGTGACCATGGCTGGGGCAGGGGGGATTTCCAGCAGCCTTCACTTGCCAGCCCTTATTTCTGTGAGTTCTGGTTGTCCTTCAACTTAGAGTGATCCTAAAGGAGAAGGCACAAAAAGACAACTCACTACCACCTCATATGATTAATGCAGAATTTTTTTACTATTTAATCAATCATTCCTGTGTTGTTTGGATCAGGATCCCATTTCCATCTGGAGACAGACAGGAGCAGAACTCTCCAGTGCAAGTAAGCAGTTTTCAAGTCCAGTTTTGAGCACTAATGACTGCAATTGGTTATTATGGTGGTCAGTGTTAATAGGAATGTCCTGGTCCCCTCTGCACCACTCTCCCCTCATTTGGACTCTGGCTTGGCAGGTTCAGGTGGGGTCAAGGACTTTGTGGACATCAGTGTGAGGAGTGGCTGTGAGACCACTGGCTGTGGCCAGCATTAATTCTGATCTGGCAAATGGGGGTCTTCCCTCTTCTGTCTCACCCACATCCTTTGTGAGAGTTCCTGGGGGAGCCAGAGGTGGTCCCTGTCCCTGAGGGTGGCCAGGGGTGCCCCAGCAGTTTTCCTGCAGTGATCAGCTGTGTGTGGAGGGCTGGCCAAGGATTCCCAGAGTCAATCAACTACTTTGTCCTCCTTGAGGAACTGGCAGTGCTGCAGAGAAAAATTTTAGTCCCACTTTCATTACTTTTATAGCCTGTGGCTGCTTTTCCTTCTGTTCCTTTGACTGCTGACATTGAAATCCTGTTCTATCAGTTTCCCTGGCTTTTAAAGGCAATTCCAGCATCACTCTGCACTCAGGAGCAGTGCTGCCAAAAAAAAGAATTTCAACTTCACAGCACCTTTCACCTCTCACCTCCCAAACAAATCAGGAGGCTAAATTCCTTTCTTCTAAAGGGTTGCATTCATTTGGGGCACTCAGGGCAGGAAAGCATCCCCAGGCTGGAGTGTGTTCAGAGGGCCACAGGATGGTCAGTGCATGGAGTACCTGCTCTGCTGGGACTCTGGGATTTGGCCTGTGCAGCCTGCAGAAGAGAACAGCTCTGGGGGCTCCTGATGGCTCCCAGTGGCAGCAAAAGCTTTTCAGAGAGACAGAAAACTTCCAAAAGCCCATTGGATTGAGCCCTGAGCTCTCCCAACCACCCCAGCCCTGTGCAGGAGGCTGGGCTAGAGACCCCTGAGGGCTGTGCCAGCCTGGATGATTTGGGGGGAGGTAATTGCTGTTTGCAATATTGCTGCCGTCCCCAGCTCCCCTCAGATCAAGGAGACTCACCTCAAGGTGAGCAGATTTCCTCAAGTGGATCAAATTCTCCTGTCACCTCATGGTGATACATTTCTTTGCTGATTTATGGCCTGTGCAGGCATTTTTGTTGCTTGCTTCTCTTGTCTTTTCTCATGAGCAGCTCCATTACTCTTGGTGCAGTGCCTCTGGAGTGCACCTCCTGTGGGTAGAGCTTCCAAACCTGTCCCTGAGCTTTGTCACAAATAACCCAGTTAAACCAGCAATCCATCATGTGCTGGAACTCAGAGATGCTCAGATCCAAAGGGATTATCCTACAGGGGGCTCAGCAAGCCACATTCCCGTGCTGCCCTCATCCTGCATGCCCTCCTGCCGCTGGAAGCAGCCCCAGCAGAGCCCTTCATGGCCACAGACCGTGAGCCACAGCAGCTCTGGCAGCCCTGCCTGAGCCCTGCAGCTCTGCTCCTGCAGTGCCAGGGAAGGGAGGGCTCTGCCAGCCACAGGGAACTGCCCCAGAGCCTCAGAGCTTTGGGTCCCAAAGCTCCCAGTGCAGCTCCCCTCCAGCACATGGAGCAGCTCCCGGTGTGTTTGGGTTTGTTGCCTTTTGCCAAGGAATGCTGAAGGTTTCCTCACCTGCCCTGCCTGAGGTAAACATGAATTTAATCCCCTTATGGTCCCTTTATTGCCAGCTGAGGTGCTGTGAAGCAAATGTGGCTCAGGAATAAACTGTGTCTGTCTCAGTGGGTCACTCAGGCCCATCACTGCAGGGCATGGTGCGGGGTTCTGGCTCTGATCCACTCCTGGTCAGCAGGATCCCACCTGCAATCAGCTGGCCTGGGTCACAGGAGCTCTGCAGCAGAGAGGGGATTCCATTTACATCTCTTGCTCTCACCTTTAATCCCTAAAGTGGGTGCTGGTATTTGCAGAAAAGCTTTCCTTCAGCCTCATTCCTTGTACAGCTTGTGTTTGTGCACGGGCAGCACCAGGCTCTTCTCCCATTCTGCTTCTGCTTGTC